TTTTAAAAGTCGGACCCATTGCGAACGTAGGAGAAGTAATCTCAACGGTCACGCGCGATTCATGCAAAACACGTGTCCGACCGAAAGCACGCTTCACTTGTGAGTCTTGTTAGTTTTGTCTTGTACACAACGTTCATCCAGTTTCTAAATAAACGAAGTAGTCCTTCATTTTGACTGACTTCGCATACTGAGATTGTCTTGCTGTGTGTTAATAAGGGAAAGGACCTGTGCTGGACTTTATCCGTCCACAACAACACTGTTTAACAAGATAGGTAACCATTGTGGCTGTAAAATCTGATCCCCCAGCAAAAGCGGTTGAACGGTGTTTATCATCCGCGGTAATATCAAACAGGGAAACTAACTCCACGTTGGGAGAATTTAGATCCGCCGCTGGTGTTTCCACGTTATTGACCGACGTCTCCGCCACCTCAGAGATAGACGAATTTGAAGGTCTTGTCGCAAACGTCGACCCTGCTAGTCAGATCGTGACAATTCTCCAACCATCTCGGTTGTCGACCGGAGGCAAGCCTCGTCGCAATGACCAAGTGGAGGGAGAGATTTTTCACTCATTGAATCAGACATATCCTCGCTAGCTGCGGCTAGGGATTTCCCTTTCTTATCGCGACTTTTAAAAGCTTTAAATCGCTTGCCTTCAGCTTTCCACCTAGCCTCGCAATGCAACCATGTTTTGGGGTTCCATAAATTGCATAGCCCCTTTAGGCAGAACCCAGAGTCCCTGACACAGCCAAGGCACGAATGCCAATACATGTGCGGGTCTCAAACAGGCATTTGCTTAAAGCAGGTTGAGCATGTCTTACGTCCCGACTGCTGCGTCAGGACATTCTTCATCTTTTTTGTGATTTAGGCATTATGCAATCTGGAAAAATAGTACGCAATGAGATCGTGAAAAAATGAGAAAATTCACTGCACCAGAATTCGGAATCCTGTGAATATAAACTTAGCTGGCGATCAACTAAAAAACAGGTAAAAAACAGGGGCCCCTAATAATGGAATGCCTTTAATGGCTTTGGAGTCGATCAACCACACTATATTTCTAGATAACCTCAGTCAGCAAAACTGTAACCTGTACTCTTGTGCGTAGCAGTGGAGCTGAGAAATTTATCCGCACCCGCTGCAACGGAAACAAGCGAGAATGAACGGTACATGCCTCGCGCACGTGAGTGCCATGAGGGTGACCCCTCAGGAGAGGCCTTTATCAAAGGAATCCTACCCTAGGGTGTTCTTTGTGGACCCGGGTATATTCCCTAATTGTTTCCGTTCAGGGCTGTAATCTGTAATTAAGCCTAACAAGGCTTATTATTTTCACGAACTTTCTGGTAGGTGATGTAGTAAACATTGGGTGACTATTATGCAAATCAGATAATTAGTATGCACAGATTTTAACAAAAACCTAACCAGGTCTGTGAATTATTCCAGAGTATCTATAAATCAATCTGTTAAATAGTTATGGAGATATTAGCGAAACATACCAGTAAATACATACACAGATAAGGTAACTGCCATTGCATATTTTGCACTTGATAGTCAAAAACTGAATATCCCTTCCCCCTCATTATCAACACTGTCATGCACATTGTAGTCAAGCAACAAAGAACTCATAACTTGTAAATACAAAGTGTACAAGAAGTAAATATGCAACTTACGACAGTTCCTCTCATCCTCCCCAGACACACAGTCCCAGTAGCCGTTACATATATAAATGCGTGGTAAACAATGTCCATCGTAACATCGGAATTTATCCCTTGTACAACGTGGTGGTGGTGTTGTTGTTGTTGGTACGTACACTGGGCCTACGTAAAAAGAAAAAGAAAAATTTGAATTCTTTTGGCTCAATAATTGGAACTGGATTTCGGTTATTTTGAAGTAAATCCAGCCTAAACAAAAATAGGGTTGTGAGACTGGGCATTAAGGAATTATTATCTATTATTACACAAAGTCAAGTACAGCTATACAACTATGCACTGAATATCCGTTTCCTTCCTATCATACATGCTACCTTATTAGGAAATATAAATTCAAAATATGAAATGAATTCCAATCAGTAATTCTGCATCACTCTACTGGATATCTGTATCCTATTTATTAGGAAATGTAAATTCCTAATATGAAATGAATTCCAATCAATAATTCTGCATCACTCTACTGGATATCTGTATCCTATTTATTAGAAAATATAAATTCCAAATATGAAATGAATTTCAATCAGTAATTCTGCATCACTCTACTGGATATCTGTATCCTATTTATTAGAAAATATAAATTCCAAATATGAAATGAATTTCAATCAGTAATTCTGCATCATTGTTCTGGATATTCATATCCTACCTTTATTAGATAATGCGAATACAGAAAAGCTAGGCTATATTTCAAAGATGACGGGCTAGTTTTGAAGCAACAACATAGCAAAAAAAGAGTTCTATTAGCTTTAACCAACTTACTCAGTTTTGAGATCCCAAGCGATTAAAAAATTTTTTTTAAAGGATAGTAGGCTAACATTAAACAAATCTGATTTATAAACAAGCAGGGTCTCAGATGACATAGCTCCGTCATCAGCAATGCACATTTTAATTAAAGAATTGAAGATATCATTACAAAATGAACAAATCTGAAAATCGAAACTATCACTTTTCACCAAAAATGAAAAAAATATTCATCAAAATTAGAAAATTGAATATATCATCACAATATGAACAAATCTGAGAGAGGTCTACCCAAGGTACATATACACCAAGTATCAAAGCATTCAGGCTTGTAGTTTCCAAGAAGAAGTCGAAAAAGTAAAAAGACGATGATGGACGCCAATGGACAATCACTCATATGATAAGCTCCGCTCAACAAAGTCGACAATGGAGCTAAAAAGTTGACGCAGGCGATAACAGACAATCACTTATATGATAAGCTTCACTCCACAAAGTCGACAGCGAAGTTAAAAATTGCTTTATTTTCAAATCCAGATAAAAAGTTTTGTCCCCAAACTTCCTTTCACATAAAAAATAAAATGACACAGTCCCCGTTAAGTTCTCTTTGTGCTCGTCATATTAAAGCGGAGGGGTTGTCGCGAGCGTGTCCTTGAAACTTGAGTTCCAAGTGGCGTATACAACAAATTGTTTATTTACATCGAAACACATGTTTCGTGTCATAGTAATATGGCCAAAATAAAAACAGCCGTTATTCAGTCATCTTTGACCTGATTATGAAAAACACTGATATGTATGATGTATGTGCCAAATACGAATGAAAATGGTACATAAATTGTGGAAATATAGTAGTAAGGCCAAAAAGTCAGATGGCTGTCAATTGGCCATCCTTGACCAGATTTTGATCCAATTGCGAAATAAATCGTCATGGACATGTATCCTAACATGTATAATCTACATGTATGTACCAAGTTTGAATGACAACTGACAAAGCATGTCCAAAATACAACATTTTC